TTATTCACTTGAGAGAGAGAGAAAGCATGAGCGGAGGGGAGAGGCAGAGGGAGAGGGAGAAGCAGACTCCCCACTGAGCAGGGAGCCTGATGCGGGACTCGATCCCAGGACCCTGAGATCATGACCTGACTGAGCCACCCAGGCGCCCCAGAACCTGATGATTTTGTGCTATTACTCCACCTGGAATGTCTCCCATGGATCTTCATGTGGCTAACTCTTTTTCATTCATATATTAGCTTAGATATCAGCTCCCCACAGACCCTTCCTGACGCTTCCCTCATCCTTATCTGGGAAGACCCTTCGTTAAGTTCCTGAAGGACAAAAACAAGAGCCAGGATTGAGAATCTGCTTTGGGTGCTCTTGGGCTCTGAACCCGAGGAACCTGCAGTAGCTTCGGACAAAGAAGAGGAAAATACTGATGCTGTGGAAAACACAACCCAGTATCTCCGTTATCCTGCCACAGTGGAAACAAGTCATCTCATTCCCCAAAGAGAAATTCATCTGCTTCCTTTATACTGAGCCTAGCAGTAATGCTCTCCTCCTGATTCCCGGGTTGTACAGTTCTAGATATTTCATTTTAACACCTGTACCACTTAATTTTTTAAAAAACAGAGAAGTTACTTTTTATCATGTTTTAAAATGTAGAATAAATAGGATGTATGGGGGGAAATCTTTGTATTGTCCCACCACACTGTGCATATTCCAGTACCTTACCTCACCCATTCATGTTCCTCAGCCATTAAGCGTATTATAGTGCAAAATATACTTGATCTAGTCAGTCAGAGAAAAGCATGTATCATATGACCTCACTGATATGAGGAATTCTTAATCTCAGGAAACAAACTGAGGGTTGCTGGAGTGGTGGGGGGTGGGAGGGATTGGGTGGCTGGGTGATAGACATCGGGGAGGGTGTGTGCTATGGTGAGCACTGTGAATTGTACAAGACTGATGAATCACGGATCTGTACTTCTGAAACAAATAATGCAATATATGTTAAGAAAAAAAAGAAGAAGAAGAAGAAGATAGCAGGAGGGGAAGAATGAAGGGGAGTAAGTCGGAGGGGGAGACGAACCATTAGAGACGATGGACTCTGAAAAACAAACTGAGGGTTCTAGAGGGGAGGGGGGTGGGGGGATGGATTAGCCTGGTGATGGGTATTAAAGAGGGCACATTCTGCGTGGAGCACTGGGTGTTATGCACAAACAATGAATCATGGAACACTGCATCAAAAACTAATGATGTAATGTATGGTGGTTAACATAACAATAAAAAAATTATTAAAAAAAATATATACTTGATCTACATTAAAGTTCAATGTCTTAGCCCATGGTATATAAGACCCTTCACGATAGGGGCCACCCAGCTTTTCCAGCCATCCTTCATGTTTTCAGCAAATATCTGTTCAACACTTAGTATGTGCCAGATTCTGTGCTAGACACTGGGAATAAAAAGATAAGAAACCCAGTCCTGCCTGCCTTCCCAGAGCTGATAATCTAATGGGAGAAGAGTAACCATGGCAGTGTTGAGTACTAGGATGTAGGTATGGGACACCTACTGCAGACTAAGGGATTATGTAGGTCCGATGGGAAAAAGGCGGGAGAAAGGATAACTTCTGAACAGAAGGCACCATATCTTGGGCGCCTGGGTGGCTCAGATGGTTAAGCGTCTGCCTTCGGCTCAGGTCATGATCCCAGGGTTCTGGGATCAAGTCCCGCGTCGGGCTCTCTGCTCCTTGGGAGCCTGCTTCTCCCTCTGCTTCTCTCTCTTTCTCTCTCCTCCTCTGTCTCTCATGAATAAATAAATAAAATCTTTAAAAAAAAAAAAAAGGCACCATATCTTGAAAGATGTAGACTCAGGAAAGAACATTATTAAGGAACCCCAGTTGTCTACCTGGAATGTGCATGCTGGGGAAGGAGAGAGAGAAGCTGGTTTGGGCCAGTCTGCACAAGGGCCTCGTAAGCCAGTCTAAGGATTTGGGATGTCATCCCCAAAGCTATGGAGAACCACTGAAGGGACAGAGTAACGGCAGTGACATGATCAGATTTTCACTACAGTAAATGTGCTCCTACAACAGTGTGGAAAGGCAAGCCTGGAGACAAGCCAGGGTAAGAGTGATAAGACCTTCAGTGCTGATCAAGGAACTCCTTGACTCCAGGCTCATCAAACCATCTGGTCAACCACATCAGGCTCTGTCACACCACAAGCCTTTGTGCCGTTATACCTCTGCTTACAAATCCCCCTATTCATCTTGACAGACTCACCCCTGAAGCCCCAGTTCAAATGCCCCCACTTCTTTGAAGCCTTTCTTATTCCCTTTATCTGTACAAAATCAATTGTTTTTTCCTATCTGTTCACATAGCACTTTATAAATAACTTGATTATAGTAATTATTCTTCCCCTTTAGCCTGAAAGATCATGGAGGGGGGAGAGTCCTCTCTGAATCTCCTGGTATACTCTCCAGCACTTAGTTGGTGACTAATAATTACATGGCCAAATGATGAATGAGAATGTTGCCCCCACAGTTAGGACCCCTCACCACATCTGGAGGTGAAAAACCCTTCCTCTGTTGACGTCAGGTCTCCCCTCAGATCCCAGCCTGGGGCACAGAAGAGCAGTTGGGATGTCAGTGAGTGACAAGTTGGTCCCTCTCACTGATTTGTATGTCTCCCCAGGTGGTCCAGCTGGAGGAGCTCCTGGCTGTGCGACACTCCGTGTTCGTGGTGGGCAGCGCCGGCACTGGCAAGTCTCAGGTGCTGAAATCCTTGCACAAGACCTATCAGATCATGAAACGCCGCCCCATCTGGGCTGACCTCAACCCCAAAGCAGTCACAAACGATGAACTCTTTGGCATCATCAATCCGGCCACCAGAGAATGGAAGGATGGTAAGAGCAGGATACCCCTGGGACAAAATTCCTGTTATCCTGAGCCCTGGGGGGCAGGCTTGAATCTACATCCAAGAGTGAACTTCAGAGGGAAGAACACTGGCCTGATCAGTTTGGAGTGGGAGAAGGAGGTGAAAAGAATCAAAGAAAGGAAGACCCCAATTTTGGCTTGGAGGGGAACCTCAACTGTTGGGAGATTCTCTCTCCTTGGAGACCCTTCCAGCTGCTCCTTGAGAGAGGGCATTGAAAGAAGAGAAAGCAGGGCAGGCATTCTCAACTGTGGTTCTGTGATTATGCAGCACAAGTCAGAGTCCCTACATTGCCTGGCAGTGGATTGAAGACCCGGGGTGGGGTAGGGAAGCCCACAGCTCATTCCCAAAGGGGCGGCACAGCATGCTCTGGCTTCCCACAGTGGGCACCTGTTCCTGTCATCCCCCAGAAGTGATGGGGAGACATCACTACAGACAACGGGGCCTCAGGGCCTGGCTGAAAACATCATTCATTACCATTCATCACAGACCAGTATCCCTTCTACAGTGATTCAGAGGGTCCCAAACTCCTGTTCACTTAGTGCTAACTCCAGTGTCACGTTTCAAGATTTAGAAATCACTGGTAGATGCTGGAAAGGGGCACTGTCACTGGGAGAGAGCTGAAAAGAAAACTCTGAACTGGTAGGACCTCTTTCTAAAACCCACTCGGCTTCTGGAATGAGGGCCTCTCAGCTCCCTCCTCCCATCTCGGTGTCTGACTACACAGGATCCAACCGCCTGGATTCTAACTTAGGACCTTCAGTCAGAGGCCCAGAACAAGGGGACTTAATGGGCAGCCTCTCTAATTTTTATTTCACTCACCATTAATGAGGCTTAGCATCTTTTCCTCCTTATTGGCTTTAGTAATTGGTTCTTTTGTGATTTTATTTCCCTGTATTATTTTCTTATCCACTTGTAACAATTCTTTATATATCAGAGGTAGTAACCCTTTGTTCTGTGCATCACTAATGGTTTTTCCTGTCTACCATTTGTCTACAGGCACTTTGTGGCATAATTACCATGCACTTTTTTTTTAATTTTTAAAAGATTTATCCTTTTATTTTAGAAAGGGCAAGAGAGAGAGAGAGAGTGAGCAGCAGGGAGGGACAAAGGGAGAGGGAGAGAGAGTCCCAAGCAGATTCCATGCTGAGCAAGGAGCCCAACGCTAGGCTCGATCTCATGACCCTGAGATCACAACCTGAGCTGAAACCAAGAGTCCGTTGCTTAACCAACTGAGCCACCCTGGCACCCCAACCATGCACTTTTTAAAAGAGGAAATTATGTCTGTCCATTCTCTTGGCATCTGGGATTCCTATTTAGTTTATCACTCTTTCTCATTTTCAGTTATAGATACAGTATTATAAATTTGGTCCTAAGGATACTTTTTACATGAACATCTCTTTTATCCATCTGGGATTTATTTGGGGGCTTAGTATGAGGTAAGGTAGAGAATCAACTTCATATTTCCTTCCAAATGGATAATTGAATGTGCCAAGACCATTTATTAAGCAATCCATCCTTTCCCTCTGAATGTAAGCACCAGCCTGTCACATATATCAAGATCTGATTCTGGGTTTTCTGTTCGGTCCCATTCATTATTCAATCCTATACGAATGTCATTCTGCTCTGTTCACAATCATAACATTTTAATGTCTGATGGCATAAGTTCCTCCCTAATATTCTTTTATAATTCTCTTGGCTAGTCTCAAGCACTTATTATTCCATATTAAATTTAAGCTCATATAATTCAAACTTTAAGCTGTGTTGTAATTTTAAAGTTTTATTAAATATACAGTACTCATCCAATATGGAGACATTGACAAAGATTTATAATCATAAATCTGTACTCACAAAGAGAACTACTAAGTAGATGGAAGACAACTTTTTAAAAATTTTTTGGGAACTTGAGAAAAATAGAAATGTGGATATTACTGCTATACTTTTTTTCAAAATTGGACAGATCCAATAGACAGAAAAAAATAAGCATAGTCATAGAGAAATTGAGAAATACATCATCAAACTCGATAGAACACATCATTTAAGAACTTTGCATCTTAGAAGTAGAAAATATTCCTTTCTTGGTACATTCATAGAACATTTACACAAATTTGAAGTTTAGTTGGGTGCAGAAGAAACTGTAATGAATTCAAAAATATCAATTTACAGGCCACATTGTCTGATAATAATGCAATAGATGTAGAAATGGACAGTAAGAAAATGACCAAAAATAATTGTACTGCTTACAAATCAAGAGATGCTCACAGGGCAGCTGGGTGGCTCAGTCAGGGGTCCAACTCTTCATCTCAGCTCAGGTCTTGATCTCAGGGTCTTGAGTTTGAGCTCTGCATTGGGCTCCAGGTTGGGTGTGGAGACTACTTAAAACATTAATTAATTAAAAAAAAGAAAAAGATTCTCACTTAAACCCCTGGGTGAAAGAAAAAAAAAAAATACCTTGCATACAAAAACCAAGGGAGCATGCCTAAGACCAATAAAGAAGAACTCTAAACTCTTCTTATTTTTGAAGATGGGCTAGAAATGAAGGAAGTAGGTGTCCATCCTAAGAAATTACCCAGAGTGGTAAACTGAACCTGAAGAAATCAGGAAGAAGAAACTTAATAAGGATAGAGTCTGAAATTAATGGGAAGGAACCAAAAAAAAAAATCATAGGAAGGATAAATAAAACATAAATATGGGTTCTTTGTAAAGATCAGTAAGTCCATTGTGAGCAAGATTGATGGGGGAAGAAGAGTAAAATTAGATCCAATTAAGAATTAAAAGCTGTAACAGCAAATAAAGATTAAGATGGAAGAGATCACTTAATTATATGATACATGTTTGGAAAACTAGGAGAAATAAAAACAATACTTTAGCAAAATATAATATTAACAAAATTTACTCAGTAAGAAGCAGAAAATGAATAAACTATTGAAAAAGACAATTTAAAACAGTAGCAAAAAAAATGGTTCCAAAATGGTAATAAAAAAAAAGGATACCTCTCAATTCATTTTATGAAACCAGAATAATCTTGATATCAACCTTTATGTAGAACCAAAAAAGAGCCCAATTTCACTTAATAACATAGATTCAGAAATCCTGAATAACGTCACCAAGTAGCTCCCATCTCTATATTAATAAAAATAAGAATACGCTTTGATTAAGTAGAATCTACTCTAAGAATGCAAGGATAGATTGAATATTTTTTTTTAAGTTTTCATGTAAAGCTTTGCAAAATTAAAGGAGGAAATCATGTGCTCAACAGTAGGTGCTAAAACCTCAGGAGCTATTCCTAACTTAAAAGTTCTAAGTAAAATAGGAATAGATAGAAATACCTTAAATATAATAAATCTAAATCTTTATAAATAAATCTTTATCTAAAGCCCAAAGGGAGAGGGGCATTCTGAATGATGAGAAACTGAAGCCATTTCTATTAAAATCAGTAAAAAGGGGGAGCCATTACCAGCATTATTATTCAGCACTGCTTGGTGTGGGATTCTAGAAAATGCAGTAAGACAAGAAAACAGAATATGTGGTATAAGTTAGAGGAAAGGAAAAAAATTATTTTGCTGCTTATACAACTTTATACCTAGAAAATTCAGGAGGCATTTTGAAAAAAATCACTAAAATTAATATGAAAATTTACTACTGGTAACTAAGCATAAAATAAATACAAAGAATTTGATACCTTTTCTTTCTATAGCCAGCTAAAAAAAGGAAATACAGAAAAAAAATCCGATTTGCAAAAGCAACAAAACTATGAAATGTTTAGGAATACTTTTAGCCAGATATAGATTGAAAACACTGTAAAAGTTTATTAAGGAACATACAGTAACATTTGAATAAATGAAAAGACATACCATATTATCGATTGGGAAAGCTTAATATCATAAAAATCAATTATATCCAAATTAAGATCTAAATCTCACATAGTGCCAATTAGAATCACATTGGGAACTTCTCTCAAAGCCTGGGCTGCCATCACAAAGGATGAAATCTTACCTAAAAAGGTTTTCTGTAAATCCATCACATCCTAGTTGCCTGTTGAAACGATTCTCTGGGTCCCTTGTCACCTAAGCCAGTACCATCAGATTTTGTTAACATTTTGCTGATGATGTTCTTAAAAGAGTCAGAGGGAGACTCAGAGACGGTAGCACCTTAGCACTAGCTGTCAGATTTCAATAGATTAAAATACACATCCAGTTCTGACCTGGCTTTTCCATTTACACCTTCTCCTGGGTGTCGTGGCAAAGAGGGAAAGGCTGTCTGACGAGAAAGAGCATTGATGATGAGATGGTTGGTGAGCAATTCGTGGTTCCTTTTAGGACTGTTCTCTTCCATCATGCGGGAGCTAGCCAACATCACCCATGACGGACCCAAGTGGATCTTACTGGATGGCGACATAGATCCAATGTGGACTGAGTCTCTGAACACTGTCATGGATGATAACAAGGTATCGAGGGGGGAAGGGAAATACCCAGGCCATCCCTCATCTAGGAAACCAGTTTCCCAGGTGCATCGGGAAATCTCGATCCCACATGAGGGCTGGCCCCAAGTAAGGAGTCGCTGGAAGACTAGTGTCTTTATTTTTTTTCCCAGCTTCATTGAGATATAATTAACATATAACATTGTGTAGGTTTAAGGTGTGTGATGTGCCTATGTGTATCTTGTAAAATGACCACAATAAGGCTACTTAACAACCTCATGTAATTGCATGCGTGCAATCACACTGCCTTTTTAGCATTGTCATAACTGTCTTCAGAATTGTCAGCACAGAGATGAATTTAATATTCAGAGCTGGAAAGAATCTTCAGTCATTAATTCAGATCTTTTTCCTTCTTTATAAATAAGGACACCGAGGGTCAGAAATATTCTAAGCCTGTCAGCCATCCTCAATGGTGACAAACCATTATCCATGGAGAGTCTGTTTTCTTTATTGTAAACAGTGAAAATCGACACCAGTAAAGTGGCCGCGAAGCTGGTGGCTGCTCCTGAATTTATTCAGAAAACACATCTGGATTCGAAGGTTTAGGATGTTTTCAACATTGACAGAATCATTGAACTAAATGTGTGCCCTCCCAGAGGGACTACTTTATTTTTTTTAAGATTTTATTTATTCCAGAGAGAGAGAGAGAGAGAGAGTGCAGGGGGGGGAGCAGAGGGAGAGGGACAAGCAGACTCAGCGCCAAGCCCAGAGCCTGACGTGGGGCCCAGTCCCAGGACCCTGAGATCATAACCTGAGCCAAAACCAAGAGTCAGACACACAACGAACTGAGCCACACAGGCGCCCCCAGAGGAACTACTTTAAAAGAAACAGTAATATGAAACCTATACTCTTTTTAAAAATAATCTTGTTATCCCAATATGGTCTAGCACATTCAAATCACTGACCTCCATTTACACTTTTTAGAGAACTTATTTTTTGATTCATTGTACACACAGGGATGGAGGTAGAGGGGCTACAAGACGAGAGGTAGAGGATTCTTGTAGAATATTTAGAAAATACTTGTAATCATAATGAAGAAAATAGTCATCCTTAATCCCCACCGGGAGTAACCAGCCAAATCCAGACCCCCACCCCGCGCCAGCCGTGTGTCCTCCCTCCTTCCTACCTGGCATGTCCCTCCCTGTGTCCAGGTGCTGACCCTGGCGAGCAATGAGAGGATCCCCCTGAATCCCACCATGAGGCTGCTCTTCGAGGTCAGCCACCTGCGGACGGCCACACCAGCGACTGTCTCCAGAGCAGGTACGACCCAAGAAAGGAGAAAACCCACCAGGCCGCTCACTTGGAGACAGGTGCCCCTGGCATCACACAGGGTGTGGCTGGCTCTGAAGGAAGCTCCAAACAGGGGCCAGACATCGCTCACGCGGACCTCTGGCCTGCTTCTCTGCTCCGATCCGTGTCCATGAGGGTGAGCAGGTGCTCTAAGGCCAGGGCCATGGGATTTTCTTAATTCAGAGATGGGAAGGGAAAGGCCTCTGAGCCGGGCAATGGTCCTCTGCACAGAAGTGCCTCGGCTGAGGCTGCTTTAGGCCAGTTCCCTCTTCCCACGTCAGTGGAGACGACCAAGACGACTGCTCTTCTCACTGCATCCTGGTGAGAGATGACAACTGTATACCTTAACTTACCTCTGACTCCACCTGCCAAATTGATCGGCACAGCCTAGGGCATAAGGAGAGTGGGTTTGCTCTCCCCCGTAACGTCAGATTCCCTTTCGAGGACCCAGCTGGGAACATGGGGTCCAGAGAATTCTGTATTCATTCTCTAGGGCTGCCATAACAGGTCACCACAAACCCGACGGCTTTGAAGACAACAGACAAGTATTCCCTCACAATTCTGGAAGTCAGACATCCAACACCAAGCTGTCAGCCCTCCAGGGGACAATCCTGCCTTTCATCTTCTAGCCTGGGCTGGTGGCCCCATGGCTCCAACCTCCACCTCCTTAGTCACGTGGCCTTCTCTGTGTGTCTTGCCTCTTCTGTCTCTCACAGGGACACCTGTAAACGTCCCACCCAGATAATCCAAGACGATCTCATCGAGGGATCCTTAATCACATCTGCAAGGGAAGGGCTTTTTTGCCAAATAAGGTCATGTTCACAGGCTCCCAGGATTAGGACATGGATATATCCTTTTAGGAGCCACCATGACAAGGATGGGTAATCACAGTTTTCTTTCCTCCTGAGCCTGGACGTGGCCACACAGCCTTTCTCAACCCTGCTCCCCGTCAACTGTTATCAGTCAGTTGGAGCTGGTCCCAATAGCAAACCCACTTACTCTCTCAAACCGAGGCCAGCTCTCTTTCTTCAGAGTCCAGTCTCCTGTACATTTTCTACCAGAGAAAGTAACTCCCTGGGGGTGAGGAATCTACTGTCACCTGTGGAGGCTTCAGTGACCAGAATTCTCTGTGTCCCCAGGAATCCTGTACATCAACCCGGCAGACCTGGGGTGGAACCCTCCAGTGAGCAGCTGGATTGACAGGAGGGAAATGAAGACAGAGAGAGCCAACCTCACCGTTCTGTTTGACAAGTACCTCCCAACATGCTTGGACACACTCAGAACCAGGTAGGCCAGGGAGTAAAGGAAGGTAACAATTTAAAACTGCAGTAAAGAGCCTGTCAGCTCACACCTGCTATCCTGCTGATGTTCTGTCCTGTCCCTGAAGCCAGATGTCCCCGGAGCCTTCCCCTCCGGGTCTGGCAGGTGGCAGAGGGCAGCACACATTACGATGGCCACGGGATGCCTCTTGTCTGCTCAGGCAAGAAGCATGGTGAGTGAGGAGGAGAAAGATGCAAAGTGACCGTCGTGTGTGCATAATGGGTGTATCCAGAGCTTGTGGGTTGTGCTCCGAGCTGACAATTGTGAGATTCTTCACGTTGCAGGGCACAGAGCTGGCCCTTTTATAAACGAAACACACGCCAGATCAACAGACCTAGAGGTGACGACGACACATGTCAGTGATAAATGGGGCCCACTTCCTGTTGCTGGCTGGGTGTGCCCACTGCCCAGATAATGCAGGACCCGATATAATGTGTCATTCCACCAGTCCTGCCCGTGTGGATGCTGAAAATTCACTTTTCCTCTTACAGGTTTGCAAAAGTAAAAGCAGTAAGCGCTGACCACTTACCCCATAAACAAGAGAGTAAGGGCTCTTACCCGGGAGGATACTTATTACAGCAAGAAGAGTGCAGGTGCCTGCAGAGGGAGGCTCGAGGTCTGGAACCTGCTTTTATTTCATCCCTTCTTGCCAGTGGTTGTGCCCTTCCTTGAGTCAGGCAGCCAGCCTCATGGTTCAGCCAAGTACCTCCATCAGAGGTCGGTGCTGGGGAGGCGGTGTGACTCAGGGATCCGTAGTTCCCGAACCTTCACCAAGGTAGGGTCAGGACCATGTTTCTGGGAAATGAAGGCCGCTGCTCGGAACGACCGCTGACTCTGTGTTCACTGGTCTGTCGTGCATGGGACCAGCTCACAAGCATGGAGGTGGGGGTCGAAGGGGATCTGCGGGCTGCAGGAAGCCCGGGCACTGTCCTGACCAAGAATTATTTTCCCGATCTTCTATATTTTCCAAAACCCTTGAAAAGTCTCCAGCCTCTGAGGCCTGTGGGCTCTTTATGGCCTTGGGATCTAAGGAGATAAAGAAGCCCGGACAGCAGACGAGGTCGGGAAGTGGGCACAAGTGGTCAGTGGCGCAGGTGGGCCAGGGCAGCTGAGTTAAAATGCCACGGGAAGGGAAGGTTTTCAGAAACTAGTGAACGTACCCCTGTCCTTTATCATTTGCTGAGACATTCATCTGATAGAGCCTCTCACTAAAAGTTCGGCCATTTCCCACTCTGGGCACTTAGGACAAGAGATGCCAAACTCTTATCTATGTGAGTATTTGTGTGTGCACGCGCGTTTGCACCAGCCTCTGTACCAAGCTCTGGAGATGCTGACTTCATGCAGTCTATCCAGAGACGGCTCCCCCGCCCAGTGTCTGAACTCTGTGGCCATCAAGGACGAAACACGTCCGTGGTTTATGGTGCCCTCGTGGGGTGGCGTTGAATGCTCACAAAATTCCTAAGAGGGCAAAGCATCCGTGGACAGGGGGCAGAGGTTCCGTGCTGTGCCCTGGGGACCACGATTTTCAGTAACAAGGCGCTGGCTTCAAAGTCGGACTTCCCTCGTAAGGCCGGCTTTCTGGGGCCCTGGTACTACAGAGCTGTGGGTTGTCCGCACGGAATAATTTTTTTGTTAAACAGGCCGGCCTCATAAGGGGGGATGATAAAGCAACTTGATTTTGTCTCCCACTGCTCCTTCAAAAGCCATTTTATGTGGCTGGTCGTCCTCCTGCCCCTAGATGAAATCTAGGTCACCATTTATGACTTTTCTGGTCATTCTGCAGTAATACAGAGGTACGTGATCGCTTCTGGTCACACACTTGTGAAAACTTGTAAAAGCAAACTCCATTTACAGGGAAAGTTTCTGCCCCTGCCCCAGCTCAGGCCTGCCTCCTGCTCTCCACCTGCAGTGGGAAAGGAGTCTTTGACATCTTTTCTCCTTACTCCTCTGCACCAGCCCCCCACCACCAGCTGTAGCTTCTGTGCCCTTGGGGTAGAAGGGGGACAGAGAGAAGAGAAAGGGCAGGAAAGATCTTAATGGCTGGAACCAGCATGGTCCAGGTTACCCTAAGTGTGGCAGATGTCAAATCAGACTCTCGAAGATTCTGAGTTCCTTGGCCCCTCCGCCATCACTGGAGACCTCCCAGATGCCTTTTCTTGAAGTAAGAAATGCCTCTCCACCAGCCAGTCCTGTACAGCTCCTCCTACAAAGCCCCCCAGCGGCCCTGAGCTCACGGACCGCACCTGGATTCCAGGAAATGCTCACCCCTCTTTGCTTTGAACTGGGGTACAGGCTGCGCCAGCAAGCCACCTCTCCACACTCCACTGTGAGCTAAGCAGGTGTCCTTGGGTTTCCCGGGCACCTGTCCTTTGCCACCTCAGAGCCACCGTGCAGCCCCTTCCCTGGCTCTGTGCTGGGTCAGCACCTGCCTTCCCTGTGAGTTCTCTACCAAGCCCCAAATGCTGATTTCTCTCCCCTGCAGTGTCTCCTACTTTGATCCTCTCTACCCCTGAGAAGACCAGAGGCCCCCCCGTAGTTGTCCGGGACCTGTTGGGAATGGTCAGTGTAGCTGGCCCCTCTTACCTTGGTGCCTCACCCAGAACCGGGCCTGAGACAGCTGGCCATGAACCTTCCCCTCACAGATCGGTGTGGAAGAAATGAAGGAAAGCCTGTCAAGTCCTTAATTTCTCCCTCATGGAAGTAATGCCTAGACTGCGGGACTGCCTCCTAGTAGTATTGCTGTAGGATTGCCACCAGATTAGAGTCGAGCAAACACGAGCTGCTGCAGAGGATGGAGCGCGTGCGTGTGTGTGTGTCCATGGGGGATGAGAGCGTGTGTGTGCATGTGCGTGTGTGTACACGTGGGGGGATGAGAGCGTGTGTGTGCGTGTGCGTGTGTGTACTCGGGGGGTGAGAGCATGTGTGTGCGTGTGCGTGTGTGTACTCGTGGGGGGGTGAGAGCGTGTGTGTGCGTGTGCGTGTGTGTACACGTGGGGGGATGAGAGCAGGTGTGTGCATGTGCGTGTGTGTACTCGGGGGATGAGCGTGTGTGTGCATGTGCGTGTGTGCACACGTGGGGGGATGAGAGCGTGTGTGTGCATGTGCGTGTGTGCACACATGGGGGTGAGAGCGTGTGTGTGCATGTGCGTGTGTGCACACGTGGGGGGTGAGAGCGTGTGTGTGCATGTGCGTGTGTGTACTCGGGGGGTGAGAGCGTGTGTGTGCATGTGCGTGTGTGTACTCGTGGGGGGGTGAGAGCGTGTGTGTGCATGTGCGTGTGTACTCGTGGGGGGGTGAGAGCGTGTGTGTGCGTGTGTGTGTACCTGTGGGGTGATGAGCACGTGTGTGTGCATGTGTGTGTGTGTACTCGTGAGGGGGTGAGAGCGTGTGTGTGCGTGTGTGTGTACTCGTGGCGGGGTGAGATTACCCGTGTGTGCATGTGCATGTGCGTGTACTCGTGGGGGGGTGAGCGTACCCGTGTGTGGGCACACCCATGCACACACTCCTGGCCCCTCGGGCATAGATGCACCTCTGCGCATCTCTTGCTACCTGCCTTTCGGTCCAGACCACCAAATCCAATATGAAAAGTACACACACCAGGCCAGGGCAAAGTGAGGTGTATTTTCAGAAGGCGAACTCCATCAAGTAATTGATGAGTGTGTAAAATGAGCATCTGTCGGGGCCCACTCTGCCCTCCCCCCAAGTAAGACTCTGGTTCCAGAGAACATGTGTTCTGTGTGTTTGGACTGAGGGACCTGGAGTGGAAGGACCTGCCTCCGCCCTGCACCCACCCTGACTCTTGAGGAAATTGTGAAGGAGTGACACTGAGATTTTACCCCTTGTGTCGCAGTAGCCCCCGAGCCCTGAGGACTGAGAGGGACAGTCAGTGTTCAGAGAAGGGAGGAGCAGACGGGGAGGGTACCAGAGGGAAGGGCGATGAGAAAGAACTTTCTCCGAGCACTCTGGGCCCTTCTTGGTGAGGAGCCGATGAGAGTAAAGGCTTACGTAGCCCCACGCAATCCCGAAGAACCTGACGGGTCACAGGTCCGCCAAAACCAAGTAGGTTCCAGCAGGCCTCCAGGATAGAAAATCCGGTGTCATACGACGTATCTGGGTCTCTCTTTGCAGATTTAAGAAGATAATTCCGATCCCAGAGCAGAGCATGGTCCAGATGCTGTGCCACCTTCTCGAATGTCTCCTGGCCGAGGAGGACATCCCTGCAGACTGCCCCAAGGAAACCTACGAGCTGTATTTTGTGTTTGCTGCCATCTGGGCTTTTGGCGGAGCAATGGTCCAGGATCAGGTAAGAGGACATGCCGTGGTTAACACGTGCAAGCCCACAGTGGCAAAAACCGATCTTCCAGCAAAGATTTGGGAAAAGAGGACAGCTAAATGTCAGAATTAACGTGAAGGCATCAGGGGCGCCTGGGTGGCTCAGTCCGTTGAGCGACTGCCTTCGGCTCAGGTCATGGTCCCGGAGTCCCGGGATCGAGTCCTGCATCCGGCTCCCTGCTCGGCAGGGAGTCTACTTCTCCCTCTGACCCTCCCCCCTCTCATGTGCTCTCTCTCTCTCTCTCATTCTCGCTCTCTCAAATAAATAGGTAGAATCTTTAAAAAAAAAAAAAAACATGAAGGCGTCAAACTTTTTTGTTATCCATCCATCGCTTAGCTAAAGACGTCAGCCCCCAGAGAAGGGCCTTTTGGAGGGAGACAGATGATCTCTGGCTATATTTTGAGCTATTGCTTTAGGAGTTGGTAATATATCCTGATTTCTTGGAGAGTTGCGGCGTTTCGGAACAAACGGCGGTATAGGTCCACTACTTTGCAAGGTGATGCGTGTTTGATAGAATGACACTGTGTTATAGAAGCTTTAGAGGGAGGAATCTGTTTAGCATTCCATAACAAGCACAGACAACTCTGTACCAGGCCAGAGTTAACCAGCTCTTCTCCATTCCCCGAAACACCAAGCTGTCCACAGAAGCGTGGACCAAAGGTTAATTGATATCCAGGGGTAGGAAACCCGATCACTATTATCACGGTTTTGGCTGCTGTAGCCTCAGGTATGGGGATAGGGATGTTGGCTTGGAATATCTTGGCATCCTATTCCCTAACCCTTCCAATATCCCCAGACTTTTTCTTTTCTTTAAAAGATTTTCTGAATTTATTTGAGCGAGAGAGAGCAAGCACGAATTGGAGCAGGGGGCAAGCAAGGGGCTTAACCGACAGAGCCACCCAAGCGCCCCTCCCCAGACTTTTTCTCGGCTTAGTTTCCTCCAAATTGAAAGTTCTTTATCTGGAAACATCATATTCAAGGTTAGGCAAGCCAGCCTTGGACAGCCAACTCCAGCTATCAGGCAGTCCCATAGGGGCTGAGGGCACGGACTCTGGATTCGAATCATAACTTTGCCATTTAGTATCTGGGGGATGCTGGGCAAACTGCTTCACCTCTCTCCACTGTACCGCCCACCTGTGTACGAAGGCAATGAGGGTGCTGACAGCGGTGTCCAGTTTCTAAGGCTGTTGTAAGGATTACAGGAAGGGATACTGTTCTGATCGTCCATGAAAGATACGTGCAAAGCTCTTAAAATTGTGCTGGTGCACATACATCCTTATTAGTAGTCATCTCGTACCAGAAATACTCAGCTTCATAGCAAGTGTCTGGCACCCCCCTCATCGCAAGGGATCAAACCAAGCTGCGATGCATGGAGAGTTAGGATTTATCTTTCTGGTCTGGGTTCATTGGAGGCTCTTTCCAGGAGAGAGGTAGAAAGTTTCAGCCTCTAGGGCAAAGCCATGTTCTAGAATCCAAAATGGCGGTGAGCCGGGAGAATGAATTTAGAATGAACAATTAATTTCTTGTCCATTCTCACAGGCCCTGGGTGTTAGCATCTGTCCTACCTCCCTTCCCTCCCTGACATGTTCTTCGGTGTTCCACACTCAGAAATCAGCTCTCACAAGTTCCTGGGATGTGTACCTCTCCCCATCTCCAGAGCCAGAGCCAGAGCCAGAGCCAGACGCTGGGCAGGGGGAGATGCCCATGAGAATTTCACACTGCCTCTTGCAGTCTTTGCAGCTTCTCCATGGACTGTTTCTTTGACAGCTTTCCATTTCCCCTTGGAGGCAAGGAATCCAGCAAGATGGCCGAGGTCTCGCTGAAATACCGAGGTCCAGAAGGCACAGGTTACTGCTTTCCATCAAACGCATGCCCTGACCTTTCAGTGGCTCACATGTCAGATAGCAACCACTGCTGGGCTTCTCCCCCATGTTGGTGCTTAGCAGGTAGTGGGGGATCAGGACAAAGACACTTGGTCAGTTTTTCTATCGCAGTATACATTTAAATCCACTCAACTCTTTTTAAAAGGCCCGGCAGAAAGCATCCCTCCAGGTGCCCTGGGCTCTGGAGCACTTGGAGCCATAGGCCGCCATGCTAGCACATGGGGAGAGGACAAGGGAGAAAGCTTTTAGCAGCAGGGAAGGCCCAAGACCCCAACACAAGCTGCATTCAAGCCAAACCCCAGAAAGAGTGCCGTAAGTAGAAAAACAGGGAGCCAGCCAAAATAGTCACATCAGGAACAGCGGTGGTGCTGGTGTTTGTGAAGCTGTCATTAAAGCAAAGGAGAAATTCAATATGCAACCCATATCCGAGTAGAAGCTCCAAAAGCAAAAGGATGTTCTCACTAAATACTTTGCTGGGATCCCGGGAAATGGTCTCTCAGAAGCAAGTGATGTCTCAGCACCAGCTCGGGGGACCAAACACCTGAGTCCAACTTGCAGCACCTCCGTGTGCTTCTGGAGGCCATCCTTTTCAGTTTTTGTCTTTTCATATATCAAATAGGAGCAGTTTGTACTAGCCAGGGTAACTTGGAGCATGGTAAGCATCAGGTGAGGCGATATTACAGCCCAAACTCTTCTGCAAAGTATACAGATGCACCTCAGTGTCGTCAAGTTCAAAGGGCAGGAATGGGGGCCACAGGACTGTCCAAATCCAAAGGCGATGGGGGTGTCTGAAGGGGCCTCTTCATGAAGGTCACTGCTGAAGAGACACCCAAGGAACTGAACCAAGAAAGCACTGCTGGCTGACTCAGCACAGGTGACCTTGTCTTTGGTGTCCAATTAGAGTGGAGGTGAGGTCAAGTGCGGGGTACTGGGGAGGAGCCGATGCTGGTGCAGCCTGGCTGGTGGCGTGGCTGGTTCACTGACCGAGGGGCTCAAGGTGGAATTGGACGTGGGGAAAGGAGAAGATTCACAAAACCTCCTTTGTTCTAGAGGTGGCCTCTGCCTCGGATTTTCCGTAGGAATCTAGAACCAGGTTTTTTCTAGGAAGTTAAAAGTCTTGAAGGATTTTGGGGAGGGGGTGGGGGGATGGGTTAGCCTGGTGATGGGTATTAAAGAGGGCACGTTCTGCGTGGAGCACTGGGTGTTATGCACAAACAATGAATCATGGAACACTACATCAAAAACTAATGATGTACTGTATGGTGATTAACATAAAAATAAAAAAATTTTTTAAAAATTTAAAATAAAATAAAATGCCCAATCTGGGTCTCTTTTTAGGTTTTCCTTTTGGGGATTTTTCCTAGGTCTATCTGTTCAAAGAATGGGCTTATTGCCAGGAGTAAGCAGGTCTGTTATGGGGGGCGTGTGTGTGTGCACACATGTGCATACATGTTGTGGGTTTCAGCTTGGACACAATGAGATCGTGAGTCCGCTGGCTGCCCAGCCCTATCCTGAGGGGCTCGTGATCTAATACGTATGCATGTAAATTATACATCTCTACCTATTCCTTCCATCAGAAAGACCAGTATAGCTTTATCTCTGCTGCTCCTACATTTTAGAAATTTTAGCTCTTGAAGGGACCTTAGAAGTCCTCTTTCTAGGATGCTCATTTTACAGATGAGGGGACTGAGGCTCTTCTCACCCCACCACCTATGACCCCAGATGTCAACAGCCACCATGTTATTCATTCCGTCCCTGACTGCCACCCTGGAATTGCTGAGTCTCGGCAGTCTGGGAGGATGGGGGTCCATCTATCTCTTCAGGAGCTCTTGGCCGCGTTTGCCCATCTTGTGGTCAAGCCCCCCCCCAATGTTCTTACACCCCCCTCCCCGCACCCCGCGAGGACTCTCAGATGCACAGTGCTGGGGCAGCTAAGCCATGTGGTCAAGCGGTGGCACATGCACCCACTCAGGGCTGGCCCCTGTGCCGCTGGGCCTTGTCAGGGCTGATCCTCGGGGAAGCAGCATCCTTCCCAGAGAAGCTGCTCCATCAGGCAAAGCATTTCATGTTCCCCACCCTGACCTTCTGCCTGAAGTCAGGGCAGCCTGTCCAGGCTTCAGAAGCTCTGGAGAGCCTCGCCCCCTGACCCGCTTTGTGTTGGCAGCTCGTGGACTACCGGGCAGAGTTCAGCAGGTGGTGGCTGACAGAGTTCAAGACGGTCAAGTTCCCCTCCCAGGGAACTATCTTTGACTACTACATAGACCCAGCGACCAAGAAATTCGAGCCTTGGTCCAAGCTCATCCCCCAGTTTGAATTTGACCCCGAGATGCCTCTGCAGGTGAGTGTGGCTGAGTGACCGAGGATGTACAATTGCACCAAGGACCTTTTGTGGCAGCTCCTATCAGTGTCCCAGCATTTTAACCTTGCAGGAACTGGCCATCCCCAGCTACATGCCTTTCAAGAGGAAATCCTAGGTGCAAGGAAGCCACAGATCCCCCACAAAGACTTAAGTAACTTGATTACCAGACTCCACCAGCATCCTGGGGGGCAGAGCAGGGAGACAGCAGGGCAGAAGTTTTCCAAGCCCAATAGGGAGGCCGCAGAGAGGAGGGGGGGTGCTCTCCCCCAGAGAATGAGGTTATGAATGATCTTACTGTGCATATGAAGGAAGACACTCCTGCCCAAGGTAGCGAGCCAGCACCACTCTGCCTCTGAAATGGTCCAGAATGTTTTTGCCAGGAACCTGTTTCTCCCATGAGCCCCTGGCCTGCTAACTGGGTTCTCACTGCAGGCTTGTTTGGTGCACACAAGTGAGACCATCCGGGTGTGCTACTTCCTGGAGCGGCTCGTGGAGCGGCGGCGGCCGGTCATGCTGGTGGGGACTGCAGGCACAGGCAAGTCGGTGCTGGTGGGGACCAAGCTGGCCAGCCTGGATGCTGAGGAGTACCTGGTGAAGAATGTGCCGTTCAACTACTACACCACGTCGGCGATGCTGCAAGGTGAGGGCCTGGAGCACCTGGAGGGGAGGGGCGATGGGGGTGTCTGAGAGGCCACGTGCCCTGACGTGGAAATGGAACAAAGCATCAGGCACCTGTTCGGCCTGACTTCCCCTGTGCCCACACTCCGCTTTTGCCTCTCCTTTCTTCCTTTCTCCTCCACAGCACCTCTGTTCCACTCCTCCAGCACCCTGAGCACTGTACTTTTCTTCATCCTGGCTCCTGCCTTCCTCCCTGGCCTCTCAAATCCCTCCCAGGCCAGGAGTTCAACACAGAACAGTGTTGAGTACCTTGATGCCAAAGAGAGCTGACACCCGCTGAAGGATTGCCACAGGCTTGTGGAAGCATCCTAGAGATCTTTGCCTTCACCCTTCCTGTCTCATATACAGGGAAACTGAGGCTCGGGTAACAGTACGCGATCACCCAAGGTCACCATCAAGCAGCAGGGCCGGTGGGGTGCATCCAGTCTTCTGAGCACATGGGGCATGCTTTTCACTGGGAGCTGATGTGCTGGGCTCCCAAGTGGACTCGGATCCTCCAGGTGCAGCTTCAGAGTCAGAGGCTCCCTGAAAAAGGAGTTTTCCCCTTGCCAGAGTCACTTTCTCCTTGACCCTCACTACCTGTAGGGTCTCCTTGTGTATAGAAACACTCATCACATGAACCCTAGAAGCAGCTTCCTTTTCAAGAGGTGCCCAAGCCAAGCTCCTGGCGACAGGAGAGCAGTGGCAGGGCGGCGGGGGCGGGGAGGGGAACCCTGCTCTTACTCCTCACCCTGCAACTTGGCTGTGGTTCGCACATGAGACCACAGTGCATGGCCACACCTGCATTGCAAAACCACGGACAGTCAGGAATTCCGGGCACCAGAATTTGCACACTGGGAAATTAGAAGCCATAGCTTAGTACATGGAAAGTGAGCCTGGCACTTTGCCTACCCGACATCCAGGCCAGCAGACTTGCAAAACAGGTTTCACTTCAACTTCCTCTTGCTCAGCTTGGACCAGTGTCACTTACCCCATCCTTCCACGGCCCCTCCCAGCAAGAACCCCAGAGTCATCCAGCTTAGTATTGGCACCGTTCCGCATCCCCAGCTCCCACAGAGAGAAAAGCTTGCTTCCTTCCATCCTCCTGACTATCCTGCCAGTTCTTCCAGGGTCAGGGGCCCAGCCAGCTCTGGGTGCTGCTGGGGGCCCCACTCTCTGCTCCCTGCCTCTCAGAGCAGTCAGGCACCCGGAGCCCCTCAGCAACAGAGAGACTCTCCACCTCTCCATCAAGTGAGCCTCTGGGCTGCATCCCCTGTCATGCTCCTAAATGTTCCACACTGTCTGTCTCAATCCAGCAAGCTCCTGTAGTTCGCACATGAATATTAACAAGTAAGACAACTCGAAATGCTGGAGACTCATGTCAGAACTTCACTTGTTTGTCAGTGATGTGAGCAGCTTCTGTTTGAATAACCAAAGAATATGCCATTTTTAAAAAAGATTTTATTATTTGAGAGAAAGAGAGAAAGCACAAGCAGGGGAACGGGCAGAAGGAGAGGGAGAAGCAGACTCCCCGCCGAGCAGGGAGTCCGATGTGGGGGCTCGATCCCAGGACCCAGGGACCATGACCTGAGCCGAAGGCAGATGAAGAATATGCCATTTTTTGTGCTCTTCATAAGGTATGAGGCACTTAACATGTTTTGTCCACCATTATCTGAAGTCTGTGTGAGCAACAAAGTCTATCCCAATTTCTGTAGTGTAAATACTCCCACCGTGACCCATTTCCAGCTGCCGACCAGCACCCGGAGGCAGTAAGCAGACTTCACGTGCCTGGCTAGCTCACGTCTGAACACTGTTTGGTCTACCCACCAGAGTTTCTTGTTCACGGGAAGAGAGGCCTCTGTGCTCATTTGTAAGCCTAGAGTCCAGTGACCGGTCAGATGATCAGCCCTCCCCATTCACTGCGATTCTCACGCTGCTTATACCTATGCTAATAACAACAACTGGCATGTATCAAACACTCATCAAGTATGTGTCGGGCACCAACCTGAGATTGGAATTTTACACATTTTTAAATCCTTTAATCCCATCCAGCCCCATGAAGTAAGTCCTTGTATCATCCCCATGTTATAGATAAGAACATCAAGGCGCAGAGAAGTTAAATAAGCTACCCTAGACCACACAGTACGTGACGGAGCCTGAGTTTGAACCCAGACAGTCCGACTTCAAAGCCTGTGCTCTTAACCCTGAGGTTAATACTGCCTCCCTGGCAAGAAAATACTTTGAAGACGGTAATAAATGTTTGCTATTAGTGCTATTATCATTAGTGGGACCATTCAAGGATTCTGGACGAGTTGTTTTCTGGAATCCTATTATAAGGATTCTTAATGTAAAAAAATACTTTAAGTGGAGAATAAAAACTTACAATCAACGAAAAGGAGATGAGCTGCCTGCACTGCCCAGACCTCTGTCTCTTATTCTGGGCCCCTAACCTGGAGGATTTTCCTCTCCTCTCCTGTTGGAACACAGAGAATTATCCAGAAGCGTCAGACTGCTGTCAAATAGACCCAGGATAATGCTGGCTCCTCGCTGCAGCTGGACACAACATTTCTGCATCCTGTGAACTCCCCAGTGGCCACTTGGTCCCATCCACCCTCCACACTAGGGATGGATGAAGCAGGGATCTCTAACCTCACCCATCCAGAAGCAACTAGGAACTGGGGAGTCACCCAGAGCCCCAGGGGAGCCACCCTAAACGCCAGAGTCCACGCAGCAGAGCTCATACCCTTGACTCAAAAAAATGCTGAATTCCCTTACTGGGAACCCCCTGCTTCTTTCTTTGGTCACAATCCAAACAACTTTGTTTCTTTGGCTTCTTAGCCTAAAACATGTTGGAGGCAACAAAATGGCAAGAGAAAGGGTGCCCACGACCCTTAGAAAAGGGGGGAGCCAGAAAGCTGATATCCAAGAGGAAATAGAAAATTTCAAAAAGGAGATGCAAGAACTCCAAGGGTAGCTGCTGTGACCTGGACAAGAGGCAGATTCCCCCACCCACATCCTGACCCCAACCCTCTTTGCCTCTTTTTGCAGCAGAGTATTTTCGTTGCTGGTCGTACTTAAGACCCTGTGTAATTACAGAAAGATAGAATGTGTTTTGTGAAGCAGTCTGCTTCAAAGGGCAGGTAGTACACCCAGACAGATGTGCAAAATGTGCATTTCTAACTGGTCTGTAGTGGCAAATGGTGGGAAGTAGCCTAATTATCCATGTGACAGAATGCTAAGCATTATTACAAAGAATGAGGACATTCTGTATGAACAGAGTTGGAACTATGTCCACAGCTTTGTTGCATGAGAAAAGCAAGACACAGAGTGTATGGTATGCTCCAAAATGTGTCGTGTTTAAAAAGAGAAAGATAAAGAACACGGGGCTCCTGGGTGGCTCAGTCAGTCGAGAGTCCGACTCTTGGTCTTGGCTCTGGTCTTGATTTCATGGTCTTGAGTTTGAGCCCCGCCTTGGGCTCTGCACTGAGGCTGGAGCCTACTTTAAAAAAAAAAAAAAGAACAAACTGAGGGTTGATGGAGGAAGGTGCGTGGGGGATGGGCTAGATGGGTGGTGGGTATTAAGGAAGGCACTTGTGATGATCTCTGGAGGTTGTGTGTGAGTGATGAATCACTGAATTCCACGCCTGAAACCATCATTGCACTATGCTGACTAATTAGAACTTAAATAAAAATTTGAGGAAAAAACAAAAGAGAGATAAATAAAAATATTTTGTTGGTTATATTGATTATACACACACACACACACACACACACACACACACTCATATATCTATGCTTATATATACTTAGAATATCTCCAGAAGGACGTACAATAAACTGATAATAGCAGGTGCCTCTGGCAGGGGGAACTAGATGCTAAGAGGGAGCTGGAGAATTCCTTAAACTTTTTAAAAATTATGAAATATTTCAAGCATGCAGAAAAGTCCAAAAAATAATCTAGCAGGTGCCCATGTACCCACCACCCAGATTTCACAGATGTTAACATTTTGTCATTTTGCAGTGAATCTTAGCATTGCAAATACAGCCAGCACACCACCCCCATCCTCCTTCCTGCCCCTCTGTGACTGAGTACTAAAGCTGATGTGTATCATTCCAAACTTAAACCTTTTTTTAAGTTTTTAAATTCCATTTAACACATGGTGTAATATTAGTTTCAGGTGTACAATAGAGTGATTCACCACTTCCGTACACCACCTGGGTGCTCATCACAAGTGCGTGCCTTAATACCCATCACCTAGCTGACCCATCCCCCCTCCTACCACCCCTCTGGTGACCATCAGTTTGTTTTCTGTAGTTAAGAGTCTGTTTCTTGATTTCTTTCTCTTTCTTCCCCCCCTCCCACTTTGCTTGTTTGTTTGGTTTCTTAAATTCCACATATGAATGAAATCATATGGTCTTTGTCTTTCTCTGACTTATTTCACTTAGCATTATGCTCTCTAGCTCCATCCATGTCTTTGCAGATGGCAAGATTTCATTCTTTTTTATGGCCGAGTAATATTCCATTGTATATACACCACATCTTTATCCATTCATCAGTTGATGGACACTTGGGCTGTTTCCATAGTTTGGCTATTGTAGATAATGCTGCTAAAAACATTGGGGTGCATGTATCCTTTGAATCAGTATTTTTGTATCCTTTGGGTAAATACCTAGAAATGCAATTGCTGAATCTCGAGTAGTTCTATTTTTGAGGAACCTCCATGTTCTTTTCCACAGTGGTTGCACCAGTTTGCATTCCCACAAACAGTGCACAAGGATTCTTTTTTCTCCACATCCTCGCCAACACCTGTTGTTTCTTGTGTTGTTGATTTTAGCCATGCTGACAGGTGTGAAGTGATAGCTCATTGTGGTTTTGATTTGTATTTCCCTGATGATCAGTGATGCTGAGCAAAATGGATGAAAGACCCAAATGCGAGACCTGAAACCATAAGAATCCTAGAGGGGAATACAGATAGTAACCTC